ATATAGATATAGATATAGATATAGATATAGATATAGATATAGATATAGATATAGATATAGATATAGACATAGATATAGATATAGATATAGATATAGATATAGATATAGATATAGATATAGATATAGATATAGATATAGATATAGATATAGATATAGATATAGATATAGATATAGATATAGATATAGATATAGATATAGATATAGATATAGATATAGATATAGATATAGATATAGATATAGATATAGATATAGATATAGATATAGATATAGATATAGATATAGATTCTTATTCTTATTCTTATCAATATACAATATAAACTGATCAATCTTTAACCTGAACTTTAACATGCAGTTAGTTTGACAAGTGCCTTTTACGCTTACCCATTGCAGGTGGTGCTGTCGGCCTGCTCCTCGTATTTCCAGAGCCTGTTTCTGCAGCACTCCGATCCACATCCAATTGTGATACTGAAGGACGTCCGTTTTGCCGAGCTGCAAACTCTAGTTGAATTCATGTACAAGGGCGAGGTGAACGTGCAATATTGTCAGTTGCCAGCGCTGCTCAAGACAGCCGAATCACTCAAGGTAAATGAACGCGAATGCGAGTGCAATACGAATGAACTCTAACTCTCTCTCTCTCTCTTTGGCAGGTTAAGGGCCTAGCCGAGATGACAAATCAGAATACGACGCTGCGGGAGCCCGAGCGGGAGCCGGATCGCTTGCGTCCCCATTCGCAGGCCAGCGGCGCCAGCAAGGCGGCCGACAGTCCACTGGACGCAGCAGCAGCAGCAGCGGCGGATAATATAGCGACAACAGCTGCTGGCAGCAGTAAAACAGCCGCAACAGAAACGACAACAGCAGCGACAACAACAGCAACAAGCACAGCAACAGCAACAACAACAACAGCAGCAGCAACAACGTCAGCGTCAGCTGCAGCTGAGGCGTCAGCAGCGACGTCCGCGGCGTCGAAACGTGAAGCCAGCGAACGCTGCAGTCCRACGCCGCCGCCGCCCAAGCGGCCAGCGAGCAGCAGCACGACAGCCATTGAGCTGCTGGAGAATGAGGACGAGGATGACGATGATGAGGCGGAGGAGCTGCTGGAGGAGGAGGACGATGAGCTGCTGGAGGAGCTGGAGGAGGAGGAGGAGGATGCATCAATGCCGCTAGATCTCTATCAAAGACCCGCCGCCGTCGTTGTCACAGCTGCGTCCGCTGAGCCACATGCCGTGCCGCCAGAGAGCTCAACGAGCAGCAGCCACAACAACAACAACACCAACAACAACAACAGCAGCAGCAACAACCAAATGAAAGCCACAAGCTCCTCCTCGAGGGTCGCCTCGCCCAGCGGCAGCAACGGCAACGATTGCCGTGGCAGCGGCACGCCGGAGCCGAGCAGCCGTGTCGTGGCCGTCGACATCGATGACGACGATGAGGACGAGCTGGACGATCACGACATGACCGATGTGGATGACCATGTCATCGTTGTCCATCGGACGGCAGCAGCAGCCGCGGCAGCCGCAGCGCGCGACATTGCGCAACGAATCGCGCATCAGAGCGCGCGGCGGGCACAGAACGCGAACGATGAGGATGACGACGATGATTATGATGATGAGGACGATGATCGGCAGGAGCCAGCCTCGTCGACGGCAGCCTCGGCCGCAGCAGCAGCAGCAGCCGCCGCAGCAGCCGCAGCGGCCGCCGTAGCAGCGCATGAATCGCAGCTGCACTCGCCCAGCGCTGACGGCGAACTGCAGCCGAAGAAGGAGGTGATCGACGACGACTACGACGACGAGATGGATCTGGATGACGACGACGAGGCGGACAACAGCAGCAACGAGATGGGCCTCAACATGAAGATGAGCAGCGGCGGTGTCGATCTCTCTACGGGCTCAACCGTTATACCATCACCGCTAATCTCGATGCCCTCGTCGTCGTCCGCTGCCGCAGCGGCCGCAGCCGCAGCAGCAGCCGCCGCTGCCATAGAATCAGCTCGCTCCACACCTGGCGGCGGTGGCGGTGCCGGTGGCAATGCCGTCGCCTCCGATCTGAGTCTGTCAATGTCGCAATCCGGACGCCCCTCGTCGCGTTCATCGCGCGACGGCAGCAGCGCCGCTGCGGATGGACGCTCCAGCAGCCTATTGAATCCCGGCAACGTGTCCGGTCTCTTGCCAGTGCAATCGGTGCCATTGGTAAGTCTCTAATCCCTAACGCTATACCATAGAGTTCTAAAGGCTTGGCAGTCTTGGAAAGTCGGAAAATTTCCGGCGTATATGTGAAAACGAAGGCAGAAGGAAAGTGAAGCATAGAATGGGACGGGATAAACGCTTATGCATAGACTGATTAGTTAGGGCTGATAATCTTGCCGATAAATATGTTCCGGCGGTTATGTGGTTATCGATAACAGACAGTTTTCGATGTATTCATGGGGGTTTGCCGCTTAATCGCTGAATGAAACGCTGAAAGTAGCTTAGAAGCAATTTCGATATGCTATCGAGCCATAAGAATTAGCTGAATTATATAATCTAGAATATCATAAATTACAGTAGAATCCGGTTATAGCGAATCCGCTTATATTGACTCCGCTTATGGCACCGTACGGCTATTGTGTCGAAAATTCTGGTCCCAAGACAAACTTATATGAGCAACATTGGGTGGTCATAGCGTCTTCCGGGTATATCGACAAACTCTGGAGCGTCGTTATAGCCGGATTCTACTGTATTGGGTTAATTTTTATTCATTTGCTGACTTTAGCAAAACGTTAACAAAATAATGTTAAGTGTAAACTTCTGTTATTCTTTAGACTGAAAAGCAGTTACTCTCAAGTTAACAGCAAAGAAAGTTTTAGAGACTTTAACATTGATTTTACATTGAGTTAACATAGCTAGCAGAATTTCAGATGGATTGCATAGCTAGTCGCTCTGTTTTTTCTTCTCTCCACCTTCATCTCTCTCTCTCTCTCTCTCTCTCTCTCTTGGCAAAACTTTTTAATAACATGCCCTTCAACACTTGCAGAGCCTCAAGAAAGAGATCGATTGCAGTGAGGATGATAACAGCAGTCACAGTAGACACATGCAACCGCGTTCGGCATCAGCTGGCGGCGGACTGGGCGGCGATTTGGATTATCGCGCCTCGCACGAATCGGTAAGTCGCAAATCTCCAGCAAATACTCCCAGCCGTACCCAAAGTCCACCCAATACACCCCTCAAAAAGCAAATACCCTCCACAGTCAGTGCCAAGTGCCCCTCCTCCCCCCAGAACATTTGATAATCCGTTAACCTGTTCCAAGTCCATTCAGTGAATGCTTTTGCTGCTTCGATAGGTCTTCAAACAAAACAATATACATATATATATATAAACGAATTCGAMTCGAGAAACTCTCTCACACACGCTCCTTCTCTCTATCTCTCTCCTTTTCGCTCAGAGATTTCTCTGAGCATTTCAAGTTGAGCCAGTCATTCAGATAGAATGCTAACTATATCTCTCTATAGCAAATACGTATTTAAATACATCAAACAATATGGCTACACGCCTCATCTCTCTCTCTCTATCTGTCTCTCTCTCTCTCACTCTATTTCTTTCTATCTCTCTTTCTCACTCTCACTCTCTCTCTCTCTCTTTTACACACTTTCTATCTTTTGATTGCGCCCAATTCAATGCTCCGAACTCTAGTTCAAATTATAATTTCAACACAATATTACGTATACGCCCCTCTCTCGCTCTCTCTGTCTCTCTCTCTTTGTCTGTC